GGCAGCCAGGTAAGTGGCATTCTCCGGAGCCCTGGTTGGTCCTGCAGAGGACTTCTCCCCTAGAGCCAGCTGGACCCACGTGGTCCCCACACTTGGAGGGCCTAGGGGAGCTAAATGGGAGTGCAGGTGAGGAGACCGGCTCACACAGCTCCGGGGAGCCACACGTGCCCGTGGTGTCCTCAGCCCAGCAAGGGTGGAGGCTGCTTGCTTCCACGGGAGCTGCAGGGTGCCAGGAAGGAGATTCTGCCAAGCTATGAGGCAGGCAGGGCAGACGAGGGCCTGTGGCTCCCCACACTTGGAGGACACAGCCCATGACATCTGGTTTAAGAAAGTCACATGAGATGGACAGAGGTGCACTTGTGACCTCCTGCCCTATGTTGTGATGCTTCTCGGTTACAAACAGTGAAACGACACCTTTATAACCACCACCCAGGTCAAGAAGCAACACTGCAGAACTCCTGCCCTTCATTTTTAGATGTTTTGTGGGAGAGTAAAAAGCAAACTGCGTTGGGGCATTTGGAGGAAAGCCTTCAAAGTTGCCTTCCGGTAGCTCCTTGGAGGCCTGCTGGGGTGGCACTGAGCACGGCAGGCAGGGCGTGTGCCATGTGGCCCCCGGTCAGGGCAGACTTAAAGGTAGGGCTTGCTGCCAGTGCTCTGGACTTGAAACAAGTGTAACAGTGTAGCACGCGTACACACAGTTTTCCCGTATTCTCAGTGCTTTTTCCGTTTTCCGTCTCCTGATTTTAGTTACAGCCATGAGCCCGTGATGGATGTGGGACTCTTCTCAACTGCTCTTTGAATTGTCACTTTTTTAATCTTAGTAAATGAAGTGTCGATTCCTGACAAATACATTTAAAGTGTTTTATTCCTAGAAGAGTTAGGAAAAGAAAATTATTTTCAGCGAGAGTAGGATGTGTTTTGTTAGACTGATTCCTTGGCTTAAAAAAAAAAGGGTTTTGAATTGTGCAAAAAAAAATTGCTCAGTAGTTTTGGTGTCACCCCAGTTGTCAATCTGCTGTGCAGACGGTGCCGACCCAGTCAACTTCACCTTTTTCTTAATTCAGACGGTAACAAAATTGTAATCAGTTATCCCTTCTAGAGTCACAGGGAAAACAATGAAGATCTAATCTGTGATAAAAAGCAGAGAGAGCATCCTGTGTACTCAAGCCACTTGGTAATAAAGGGAGCACCACTCCCCACTGAGGTTTCAATTAAGAACCTCCCTTTAGACGGAGAAGGGTGTCAAAGGAAGAAAAGAAAATTAAATGTGTCTCCTTCCAGTTTTTCCTCATTAGTGGGTTTTTCCCCAGTTACTTCACTCCTGCCTTCCACGTGGGTGGCTGAGGCTCCTCTGGGTGCTGCCGAGGTGGTCGAGGCGGCAGCCGGTGGTGGTGGTGGTGGTGGTGGTGGTGGCTGCAGCGGGGCAGGCCACGCTCCATTTATTTTTGTGGCTGCAGCCATCAATTCTGCACGTTTGTCCTGACAACAGCTCCAGCAGGAGTTCAGTGCTCATTAGTGGCCCTAGGAATTTAAAATGCAGTTGGCGGTTCTGTGCCACCATGGTTTTTATTATTACAATATTAAATTAGAAGCTGTCCTGGGGCCTGGTGTTTGCTCAGGAGTTTCTGAAGGAGGAGATGAAGTGGTTTAAACAGCAAGCAGAGCAACTAGGACGTGCCCGTTTCTCTCCCTGGAAGCTGACCTGGTCACACCTGGTTACTGGACAGGATTCTGACGCTCTGGTGTCAGATTTTTTTTTGTATATATATATATATATTTATTGAAGTGTAGTTGGTTTGCAATGTTGTGTCAATTTCTGGTGTACAGCATGTGATTCAGTCATACATGAACACACATATATTCATTTTCATACTTTTTTACCATAGGTTATAAGATACTGAATATAGTTCCCTGTGCTATACAGTAGGAACTTGTTTCTCTCTTTTACATATATATATATATATAAAAGTTAGTGTCTGCAAATCTCAAACTCCCAATTTATACCTTCCCCCTCCCCGGTAACCGTAAGTTTGTTTTCTATGTCTGTGAGTCTATTTCTGTTTTGTAAAGAAGTTCATTTGTCTTTTTTCTTGAGTGATATGTGGTATTTTTCTTTCTCTTTCTGGCTTACTTCACTTAGAATGACTATCTCTTGGTACACCCATGTTGCTGCAAACAGCTTTATTCTTTTTATGGCTGAGTAGTATTCCATTATATAAATACACCACAACTTCTTTATCCAGCCATCTGTCGATGGATATTTAGGTTGTGAGCCCCTGGCTTTTTGCAGGAAGTGAATGGGAACGGTCGTGAGGGGGTTTGGTTGGAGGATAGACCAGCTTCCCATACACCCCAGCCCTGCCCTATGTGGCACTGGAGAGAGGAGAGAGGACGTGGTGATGCTGCTGGTTTCCGTCAGCAGAGGCCCCGGCTTCCTTCCGGCCCCTGGTCCCACCTCTGCTCGGATGACTGCACATTCCCCCACCAAGCATTCCACGTCCCTTCAGACAGGACTTTCTGCTGGACTGCCTGGGCTGGGACCTGCCTCCATTGCAGGGGTGGGAAAAGGTGCACAGAAGGGTCCCCCCGACACACACATTTGAAAATCACTGTACTCTTTTTAAATTACTCATTTAAAAAGTTATATTAAATAATGCTCATGGAATAACATTCCAACCTAGAAGAGGGGGAGGACACCCTCCCTTTCTTCTGGCTCTGAGTCACCCTTGACCTGGGCGGGCCTGGTCCTTCACTTCCTCTGTGACTGACTATCCAGGTGGGTAACAGAGTCCCTGTGCCCTGGCTCCCAGCCCTCCGCCCCAAAACCCTGTCCTCTCCCAGCCAGAAGGCAGATTCTGAAAGGAGCCCTCTGACCCCATCAAGTTATTTATTTATTTATTTTTAAAGAACTCAAATAGTCCCCCAGAGACTTCATGGCCTGAAGAGTCACAATCATCCATCCACCTGTACTTTATGGTAAGTGTCTCAAGCATTTACCATTTGGATCTTGAGTATTTATAGCCCTGAGCCTGGAGTGGGAGGAGGCGGTGGCCTCCACTTGCCTCCACTGTTTTTGCCTCTTGGCTGTCACTGCAGCTGGGACAGCTGAGGAATGCCACCTTTGCAAGCCCAGGGGGTGAGGAGGGTCTGAGAGGTCTTCAGGGTGGGACCTGGGCCCTGGGGTTTGGGTTCCTATGGATGCCCAGAGAACACTGGTGACACTATTCCAGTCTTGTGTGTCACCAGATAGCTGCCTCCTGCCAAGTGAGCTCTGGGGTTGGTAGCTCATGACAGTGAGGGTACCTGAGCAGTGGTGGGGTACACCTGACCAGTCCGCCCAAGGTCACTGTGCCCTCGTGGTGGGAGGAGGCCTCTGCCTTCAGCCCTGGGTGCAGGGGACAGGCTGTCCCCAACCAGTGGCTGCTTCTAGACCCAGGTTCCTGGTTTCCTCCCAGTTTCTACAGGAGTTTCCCCTCTGGGACTTGCTCCTGGGTGCTGAGAAGCCTGTGCGCAGGCGCAGCAGGGAACACAGAGCCGCTGACGGCCCAGGTCTGCTCAGGTCTCGGGGAAATGCAGACTGGGCAGAGCCCCCCGGGCCTGGCTTCTCCCAACCTCCCTCCACAGAGGGCAGCTCCAGTTCTCAGAGCTCCCTTCCAGAAGTGACCTGAGGAGCAGCACCTGCTCGGAGGCACAGCCAGGGTCTCTCTCAGAACTAAGGTCCTGAGGCCACCAACCCCCTATCCCCTGCACCCAGAAAAGCCAGAGGAGGGTGAGGCCGCAGGCTCAGCGTCTGGCCTGGGTTGAGGGGTGGGGTGGCAGGAGCACCGCAGCACAGCACCTAGGTGAGCAAATACACAAACTGTGTTCACAACAAGCCCTGAGTTCACAGCTGTGAGTTCCCTTCAGAAATAACTCCATGATGCCTGTGCATCTGCGCACTTTGTCCCTCCCTCTACTGCTCTGTGCTCGCTCTGGCTCTGGGGAGAGGCAAACAGCATCTGAGCGAGTCTCCTGCAGTCCTGACCAGCTCTCTGGGGGGCCCGAGTATCACCCCATGTACACATGTAGGTGGCGAGGCGCAGCTCGCTTGCTCTGGGACAGTCAGATAGAGGAGTGTGGGCCCATGCTGTGACCACGGCTCTGCAGCACCGTTTCTCAGAACTCCTTTCCAGGCTCCTGGGCACTGCAGACATCTGTCATACCCTCTGCATCCTGAGATGGATTAGTCCATCTTAAGGCAAAGTAAGTAAGTGTATCCTCTACATCAAAGAGTTCACACAGCATTTATATCATCAGTCTGATCATCCCTTCCAGGACTCTTCCTCCTCTGGACCCTTCCTTGGGTAGGATTTGGTCTTGGACATGCCAGGGCCCAGGGCACACCCAACCCATGCACCCCTAGGGACCTCTTAAGGCTGGTACTCAGTTATTCCCCTTTCCCTCAAATTTGTAACCTTGCTGCCAGCAAAGACTGGGCCCAGCAGATGCACCTCCACCCCAGGGCCAGGCCTCCCAAGGCAGAACCACCCAATAGCAACCAGGGGAGCAACTGTGGAGCCTGTACACTTACGAGACAGGTGAACCCTAGACAATGCACACAAGAGCCCTCCGTCTTTTTCAGCCTCTGGCTGGGGAGACTTCTACTGATTATCCAGGTGGCACTTAGGAGAACCGGCAAAACAGAGAAACCCAAACTTTCATACGATTGGTTTAATTTTTTTTCAGCAGGAAAAAAAAAGAATAAAGTTACAAGATTCTTTTAATATTTTCACAATGTTAAAACTAAAACTGAGCTCTAGGCTATGTGTGTAAGTAAATCTAGAACACAAAAGGGTTAAATAAGATCTCTTTTAAAGATACAAGAATTTAAGCTTTCCTTACATTTAACAAACTTCACAGAACAGATACTGCAGGGGAACAAGCCCTCCCTCCTCGCCCCCTCCCCGGCTCTACCATCAGGAAGTGAACGAGGGCTGTGAGCCCATGTGCCGCCGGGCTCCCCAGACAGCCTGCTTCCCATCACTGCCTGGTAGCAGCAGCTGGTGGGGCCTGAGGAGGGCCGGAAGGGCACGTGGTGGCCTCTTCATGACGAGAGCTGGGGAGGGGGGGGTGCCGAGGCGGGCCGCCTCACTGAGGATGGCCAGGTACTGGCCAGAGGGCCGTGGCTTGACAACAGTGGTAAACACGGGCAGACCTGGCCCCTCTGCCCTGGGCTGCCCTAGAGCAAGACACCGGTCTGGGTCCTGAAGCAAGAATTAAGGCTGGAGATTTTGCAGCGGGTTCCACTCTGGTGGGGGTGGGGTGGGAGAGGAGGTTGGGAAGAGCATGATTTCCTATTTCAGTATTTTGGGTCAAAAACCTTTTGTAGTTGCAGGTATTAACAGTTAATTTGCAGACAGTTGAACAAACGTTTGCTGTGGTGTAAAAGAGAAAGCTGCTGAGTGAAACTATTTCAGTAGCCTGTGTATGGGCAGATCCAGAGTGCCTCTGCAGGAGCCTCCACCCTCACCAACCTGGATCAGATGGGGCTCTGGGCCACTCAGCCCTGCTCAGACTTCAAGGGAATCTCAGTCCTGTCTGCCCACCCCACCCCACCTGAAAGGAGAGCATCACCAAACACGGGTAAGCAGGCCCAGATCCACCCCTCCCCACCCGGCCTGAGCTCCTGCGGCTACGCGGCTCCTTGCTCCCCTAGCGCGTGAGCGACTCTCTCGAGCTGGGCCGCGAACCACTGTTCTAGACAGACCAACCGGCTGTCCCTGTGACATACACTGTCCCCGGACGAAGCCTGCTATGTGGTGGAGGCGGACTAGTTGTCCTTGGGCTACAGACACGGGAGGTGAGGCCAAGGCATCGCTGAGCAGACTCCTGCTGCAAGGGGCAGAGCTGTGGGCAGCCCCCAGCACTTGTATTGATTCCTGTTGGCTATGAAACATCTTTTAAAAACTCCCAATATAGAAATCTAGCTGCAGAGGCCAGTGTGCAGGCCACAGCTGCTGTACTGCGATGAGCCTTATTTGATCAACAGCCAGATCCTGCACGTGGCAAATGGCAAACCATAGCCAGTGGGGTCAGGGTGGCCTCAGCTGCTTCTCGGAACCAGGGGTCCTGTGTAGAAAAGGTGGGTCTCGTTTGTGGACTAGTCTTGAGTGGAGCTGATTTTCAAAGTGAGGTTATTGTTTCTCTTCTCGTGTAATGAGAGAGTTTTTTCATAGCAAGTCAGGTTAAAAATTTTCTTAAGAACCTGCCCCCACCCCCAATTCCTGCTCTGAGGCCACCGCCCAGCCCAGCCACGGGGCCAATCGCAGCAGCCTCCTGTGGCCCTGGCACGAGCGGCCATCAGGTATTGTGGCTGCAGGGACTAAGGGTAAGTGAAGAGGTGAAGGCCGAACACTAACCAGAGTTTCCAGCAGAGCCCGTGCATCGTGGGGACTTGCACACCAGCGTCTCCTCCTCTACTGACTCAGAGTCTCCATCTGGAACACTTTCCGCTTAAGGCTTTTTATAAGTTTGACTCCAGCAGTGACAGGTATGTGTTGTTTTAAATCCACTAGCCATGCTCAAAAAAAAATATTCTTCATGTTTTAATTTTATACAATGGCTAGCAGGCACCTTAGTAACCAGCCAGAAATCAATTTCAACCACCATCAACCCCTAAACTACAGTACCAGGATGGCTGGCTAAGGAAAGGAAACGGACTGGCTGTAGTCTGACGTGTGCCCAGTACAAGGTGTCTGGCTGACTTTGTCCTAAATAAGGCTAACATTAGTGAACTAAGAACAGCGTCTCGTGGCGGCCAAGCCGGCCTTCAGGAGCACCCCTCCCCAATGCGCTGGCAAGAGCGCCCCACTTTCCGGTCCAGTTTCACCATTTTCATGATGGCTTCCTCTCGGCCATGGCCCATGTGGTCAAACGTACAGTCGTGCTGCTCGGGGAGGCGATGTAACATACAGAACACGTAACCTGCAGTAGTGGGAGAAGCAGAGAAGACAGACCGTTAGGTGTGGCCTCTGCCTACCCAGAACCCCAGCTCTCGCTCGGGTCCAGAGGGCGGGAGGGGCATCCCAGTGAGTGGACAATGGTCGCAGCAGGGTCTCTGGCTGCCGAAGAGTCTGTTACAACATCACCCCTTTAACAAGAGAGCCAGCACTTTGACGAACATGTTATTCCTCAGAACGTCCCAGGGGTACATCCGCCCCTGCGTTCAGTGCTGTTCCTGCCTGGACCTTGAAGGTGGAGCTCCAAGGCCACTGCTCTAGCGAGGCACCCCTACCTCCCTGAGATGAGTGGGCGCTAAGCACCCCCCACCAAGCAGGCAGGAAAGCACAGAGTTGCCAGCTCAGCACTGCCCAGGCTTGGACAAACCTCATACCTACAAGACACCTACCGTTCTAGGAGGCAGAAAGAGAGCAGGAATAATTATGGCTTAAATTACATTCTACCTCCTGTATAACTGAGTTTTGGGGGTGGAGGGTGTGATCAAACCGAAACTCACCCATGAATGGGAGCTCTCAAGGGAAAATGATTATGTCAAGTGCTGGAAAAGGTACTACATAAAGGAAAGAAC